AGTTTAATTCGTTAATTTATTTTTAATTATTAATAATTATTAATATTATTGAACTAATCCGTCTTTTATTTTTTCTGGTTACAGCAAAAGTATCGTTGGTCTATTGGGATTCACCAGCGGGTGAAGAATGAGTTTGAGGACAAGGCAAAAGCACGATTGCTCGATATGGTCTACAACTGGAAGGGCGACTATCAGGTATAGATTTATAAATTATAATATATATAGTTTTAAAAATATATATTATATATATATTGACTTTAATTCTAATTTTTTTTTAAAAATCAGGTGGATGGTTACGAGGCCGGGAAACCCGATTACCTCACAACCACGGTGTGGGATGGCCTCATCAGCTATTGGGGGTTGCCGGACTCGGTCAGAACCTCCAACACAAACTCTGGGAACCGCATGACCAAAGACGAGCACGGCAACACGAAGGTGCTTCACACCACGGGCCGAAAACCTCACGGGGGAGTTCGTCTAGACATGGTAAGATGATTTTTTATAACTATTTAATTTTTACTTTAATATATATTCTAAATTAATATTTAATTTTGTAAAAAAATTTAGGCTAAAGAGACTGGAGTTCTTCCCTCTCTGAAAGACCTTTACGAGCGGACCCACATGAGAAAGAGTGGGCAGTTTGTAGATCCTGCTTCCGAGCGGATCTACAACGAGCTTGTTGCCCGAGTTGACGAACGCCAGGCCCAACTGACTCAGCAGACCGGGAGTCAAGTCATATTATCCACTGTTGACGTGGATAAGATTTACGAGGAGGTAAATAATTTGTTTTACTATTACTTTTTAATATTTTTAATTTTTTTTCTTAATGTTATTAATTAATATTTTTATTTACAGGTCGCCCCTAGGAAAAAGGGGCGTATCATCGGGATTGGCTCGGTTAACGATGTCCCTGCAGCGACATCGTCTTATCATCAGGAGCAGCACGATGTCAATGCTCAGCTGCGCTCGGAGTTGCAGGCGACGCAGTCTCATGTGAGTTCTCTCACCGAGCATGTGACTTCTCTCACCGATGTTCTCGAGATTATGGCGGTTGGAAANATCATCGGGATTGGCTCGGTTAACGATGTCCCTGCAGCGACATCGTCTTATCATCAGGAGCAGCACGATGTCAATGCTCAGCTGCGCTCGGAGTTGCAGGCGACGCAGTCTCATGTGAGTTCTCTCACCGAGCATGTGACTTCTCTCACCGATGTTCTCGAGATTATGGCGGTTGGAAACCCGCATTTGGAGGAGATGTTGCGTCAGAGACGGGAACGCGGAGGGATTCCAACCCAGCAGCATCCACCATCACAGTCACAGCCGACAACCAACTTAGGAGAGGAGCAGGATTTGCCGAGCCAGGACGAGTTCGTTCGGCAATTTCACGACCAGCATCCGTAGTTTTTATTTATTTTTAATTGTATATTATGAATTTTAAAACTTCATTGTATATTATTTAGTTATTTATAAAATATTTGTTTTTTATTTTTTATTTATAATTTGTTTTTTTATTTTAAAAAATAAAATAATTATTTATAATTAATTTTTGAGTGAATTTGCTCAAAATACTATAAAAATAAGTTATTTAGGAATTTGCCTTAGTTTAGGGGGAAAAAATAATAATGGGGGGAAGAGAGAGAAGGGGGAAATAGGGTATGAAGCTAAATATGAGATTTTGTGTGTATATGGAGTGCAAATACTCTTAATTTTTTAATAGGGAAAAAACATTTCGAAGCAAAATCCTCGTAAATGTTTCCAAGTAATGTCCTCGTAAACGGTTCTAGTAAGTTCCTCGTAATTTATTACTACGCTCTTACGAGGAAAATCTTACTACGAGCTTACGAGGAAAGCCTACGAGGGCCTTACGAGGAAAAGCCCACCACGGTATTACGAGGAAAATTTTCCTCGTAAATTCGCTAGGACTTTACGAGGAAAAAGTCTTTACGATGAACGTGTCGAGGAAACGCGTTTCCTCGTAAGTTCCTAGTAAATGTCCATTTACTAGGAAATAACGAGGAAAACTCGTCCTAGTAACAGACGAGTTTTCTTGTAGTGGGAGTGAGCTGATTGGTATTGTCTCAAAGACTTGGATCAGCCCGATAATGACTTACCTGTTGAGATATACTTTTCAGGCGGTAGTGTACACTATTTGGTGGGAGAGGAATTCTCGCAAGCATGGAGAGAAGCCTAGAGACACTAGTGAGTTAACTAAGTTGGTGGATAAGAATATTAGGCTCAAGCTTTTGTCTATTCAAGGGGAAGGGAAGTATGAAAAGGGGCTGATAACTTGGTTCGAGAAAGATAGCAGTTGATTGTTATTTTGTTTTGTTCTTATTTTAGAAGGACACACATGGGCAATGGTTATGCTTAACACTCCCCTGATCTTTGTATTTTTACTCTTTTTCCTTATTAAAGGTTTGTCCTATTTTGGGTTTACTTTAATAAGGTTTTAATGAGGAAAATACTATGATCTTTCCAAAAATTTGACTTGTTTCACATGGTCAAATTTGAGAGGGAGTGTTTGAGTTTGTGAGGTTTCTTGGTTGTTTGCTTTAGCATAATTGTTGTCCTTTGTGATGCCTTGGTTTGGAGTTTCTTTTACTCTTTTGATGTAGCACTTGTTGCAACAATGTTTTCGCTTGAATAAATTTTACATTCTTTCAAAAAAAAAAGAATAAGCTTATTCGATAAATTTGGTAAACCAATTTGATCTGCATTTGTTCTACTGATCTTCTTGATCTGTATTTGTTCTGCATAATCTGCATTTTATGTTTGATTTGCATATTTTTGATATGCACTCCATTCAAAACCTAAGTTTGACCAAAAATAAATAAATAAATATCAATATAATGAATAAAAACTTAATTGTATTCCATTTGTGAATAGTTCAAACTTGCTCTCTACATACACTGAGTTAATTGTCAATACCATTAATGCAAGATTCTATCAGTAAATTAAGAAATATAGGGGTATATACAAGTATATATATTCAAAAGATCATAACTAAATATTTATGACAATTAAGGAAATGGATTGGATTTTATCATAATTATATTTTTAACACCCTCATGGTAAGTAATATCTATAATATTATTTGAAAAGTCAGTTTCCTATGTGTCGCTCTCACGTTCATTCTCACGATGGTTGATTACATTGATACCCTTAATGAATTAGAAATAGTTGAAAATAGTATTATTAATTCTTTTATTTTTAGTTTTTCCTTTTCAAAAATTTCCAAAAAGATATGTAATAAAAAGACATCTGTTTATAAAGTCATAAAAACAAATTTAAAACGAAAATATATGTATATATAATATGATTTCATAAAAAAGGAAAGTTGACAAAATAGTAATAATACATTTAAAAATATTTTTAAATAACATAAAAACTATGTATATATAATATAATTTCATAAAAAAAGGAAAGTTCACAAAATAGTAATAATACATTTAAAAATATTTTTAAGTAACATAAAATATACTTTTAGAGTAATAAAATAGTTTATAATTAGTATTATTGAATTTTTATTTATTTTTCATATATTTGGTTGACTATAATATCTTTCAATTACAGAAAATTATCTAGAACTTATATTTTACTTATATAATATTATTTTCAAATACAATCACAATTTTGTGTAGTGCTTATTTTTAAGAGATATTAAAAACTAAAAATAAATTTAACAATAAACATCGTTTGGTCAAAATAATTGTTCTAATGAGCTAGATATATGATATTTTATCATNGAACTTATATTTTACTTATATAATATTATTTTCAAATACAATCACAATTTTGTGTAGTGCTTATTTTTAAGAGATATTAAAAACTAAAAATAAATTTAACAATAAACATCGTTTGGTCAAAATAATTGTTCTAATGAGCTAGATATATGATATTTTATCATTATTAAAATTATTTATTTTCTTAATATTAATTGTTTTAGATTTTATGTTTTATGTTTGTGAAACTAAATATAACCATAATCAAAATATCAAAGCAAATCTGAATTCTCAATTTCAGATTATTTAAAATAAATTTCAGTTTACATTCAATTAATCTAAAGCATAAAATTATTTAGAATTTATAAATGCTTGTAACCTTTTATTGATCATATGATAACTCAAAACATATTAACAAATAAAAATAAATACTAACCAACTCTTACAATTTTAGTTCTTTTGTAAAATTTATATATATCCATGAGACTTTAGAATATTTTCGTTATATTAATTTACGTATTTGGAATCAGACACTTTAGTTAATTTTTAATTCATTGTAAGCACAATATATCTTAAGATTTACATAATTTTCCTAAAATATATGTACATATCTAAGACAACACCCACCATATGCAAATAAGTAACTAACTAAAAATTAATATATTTTAAAAATATTACAGTTGAATTAAGAGATGCAATCCAATTTATCCAAATGATAACTAAACCAACCGTAAAACAACAAAATTGACTAGATATAACATATATAAAATTACAGTATAAGTAAAGTAATATAATACTATTAGTATAAATGATGCATACAAATTACAAATTAATTTAAAATTAAAAATAAATAATAATCAGTTATTATTATATATTTAATTTAAAATATTTATACCCGTGCATGAGCACGGGAAAATCACCTAGTATAGTTGAACATAGAATACATCTAAGCTTTTGTTAACAATTTTGGGTTTGATATGATACAAACCCGGTTTAACTGAAATTAAAAATCGGTACATGTCCGGTTTAATCAAAATCAGCAAGTTGATTTAAAAACCAGAATCCACGGCGGTGAGAGTGTCGGTGGCTAACTGGCTGTGTTGGGGTTGGTAGATATAGAGAGAGAGTGTAAGGCAAATATCTTTTAGACAAAATCATCAAAAGGGACTCAGATTCGTGAAATCTTGTCTATTTTTTTTTTGTTTGTCTTTTTTTATAAAGCCATTCCCTAATCTCTCCTCAGTTGAAGGAGAGAGTGTAAGAAGAAGAAGAAACACAATGGGTGTGGATTTGAGACAAGTGGTGGCTGGAATCCTCACCATTACCATGTTTGTCATGCTCGGACAAATGCTTCATAGAGATTACTTTGATGCTAATCAGGTTCGTAACACCCACATGTCTCTGAGCTTGATTCAAATGGGGTCTGATCGATTTTTGTGTGTAATTTTTGGATCACAGATCTAATTTATTCATTCTGGGTTGGATATGAATGTTGCATTGATGTTAAAGACTAAGACTTTTGAGAGAATGATTGTGAAAGCTTCAACCTTTGTGCTATTTGCAGGTTCAAGGAGATGCTCATGATATTGAGTTCCATGGATCAAAAGTATCTCTGGAAGATGGGCTTGTTAGATCCAGTGAAGGGCATAAAGGGCCTTGGATGGAAGATAGCCATGATCTTAAACCTTGTTGGTCAATATCTGAGTCTGGTATTGTTTTTTCAGTTCTGTTTTTTTTTTTGTAAAAGTATGGTTTGCTTCAATGTTTCTCGTTTTGTAGACGAAGCTGTATCTTCAAAGGGTTATGTGACATTCTCCTTAACGAATGGTCCTGAGTACCATGTCTCTCAGGTATCAATCAACTCTAAAGTTTTTGCCTTCTCTTGTTTTGGTATACTTTATGTTGTTTAACTTTTAACATCTTCCTTTAGATTACTGATGCTGTGATGGTGGCTAAGCATCTTGGAGCAACGCTTGTGCTCCCTGACATAAGAGGAAGCAAACCTGGTGATGAAATGTTAGTTAGTTTCTGTATTTTCATAAAACATTTTGGTTATAAGTTTGTTTCTCTGAGGTTTTATGAATGTTATACAGGAACTTTGAAGACATCTATGATGTAGATAAACTCGTTAAAAGCCTTGAAAGTGTTCTCAAAGTTGTGAAAAAGTTGCCGAGCCACGTATCTCTAAGGGACATCGCCATTGTTAAGGTTCCCACCAGAGTTGGAGAAGAGTACATCAAGGAACATATCAGTCCCATCTTCAAATCAAAAGGCAACATTAGAGTTACAACCTATTTCCCTTCAGTGAACTTGAGGAAGTCTTCTCTGGATGGTGGTGAGACCGACCCTGTCTCTTGTTTGGCTATGTTTGGTTCCTTGGAGTTGCAACCTGGAGTGAATGAACTGGTAGAGTCCATGATTCAGAAGCTCAAGACGAAATCTAGTGGCCGTTTCATAGCCATAGACTTGAGGGTTGAGATACTTGAGAAGAAAAACTGCCGTGAGACAGGTGCAGGAGGATCCAAAACATGTTACAACGCACAAGAGATCGCATTGTTCTTGAGGAAGCTTGGGTTTGATGGTGATACAACTATTTACCTGACTCAGCCAAGATGGGAGAGCAGCCTCAATATTCTCAAGGACATCTTCCCTAAAACGTTTACTAAGGTATGTGTGTGTGTGTGTGTGTGTTTGTGAGATCATTCATTCTTTTAGTCTATGAAGTGAATCTTGATTTTCTTGTTATATATATGATGGCAGGAGACAATAATGCCTGCAGAGAAGAAATCTAAGTACCTTGAGTTAGAGAACTCAGAGTATGAAAATGTTATTGACTTCTATATAAGTTCGAGGAGTGATGTGTTTGTGCCAGCCATTCCTGGTTTGTTTTATGCCAATACCGTTGGGAAAAGGATAGCTTTAGGCAAGCCTCAAGTTCTAGTTCCAGCTGAGATCTCAGGAACATCTGGTGTTTCTACTGATTACATCTCTCCCTATATCTCAAAGAAGAACCATTTGGCGTATTCATGCTTTTGCTGATTTTTTTCTGATGTAATTTATGAGGGGATTGTTTTGCCAACAAAATCTATGAAAGGGTATTTTCTTACTAAGTGTGAGTCACTAGGTTGTTTATTGACAAGTTTAGCTCCATAACAATTCGATTTCTAGTCAAGTATTCTCATTGGAGTTGCCCTTGTAAGTTACAGTTTGAATCTATGGCCTTATAGCTTTTACATCCCATTCATTTTGTCACCATAGTCAGAATGGCGAAAGTTGTAGTCAGATGGAGGAGCACAGAGGAGGATATGGGGAGAAATTGTTCTATTTCAAACATTCTGAACAATTGTAAAATGGACAAAGTGTAGCAACAGAAACTAAGATGAACCAGGAGAGCCAAGCAAAAGTTTTTGGATCATGAAGAGAGAAGAAAATGGTGAGGTTACTGAACTCTCATGGTCATAATGATCACTGAGTCTCTTGAGTTATCTCCCCAGCTCTTCCATGAGTTCGAGCCATCTCCAAGGAAAGACACTCGTTTAGCTCCATAACAACCCGGCTCATGCTTGGTCTCTCACTACTTGAATTATGTGCACAAGCAAGTGCCATTTCCAGAGCTTTCCAGACTGTGCTGGTCTCAAAATTATTGTTAAGCTCGGGATCAACCATCTCTAGAGAACATGTTTTCATGAGCATGACCTCGACCCACTCGGAAATGAGAGGACTTTCACGTTTATTGTTGATCACAGGCTGGTTGGTTATCATCTCCAACAGAACTATCCCAAAGCTATAAATATCGCTCTTGTAGTTTAACCAGTTTGTACTAAAGTATCTGCATTATATTAATTCAAATAAGCACAATGAGTTAGATCTTGGCGTTCAGTTAAATGTACTGAGGAAAATATGTAGCTGTTCTTACTCGGGATCAAGGTATCCAGACTTTCCAGGATTAAGATATATCTTGTTTGACGCATATGTTTCAGGGTCGGTTGGTGAAGATCTAGACAGCACATAATCAGCCAGTTTCGGTTCAAAGTTTCTGTCTAGGAGGATGTTTGTCGGCTTAACATATCTGTGGATTGTTTTTTCTAACCGACTATGCAAATACTCAAGACCTATGTGTCAATGCACAAAAACAAGTATCAGTTTCAGCAATGAATCATATACCCTTAGATATAGCTGCAGCTTGAGCTTTACCTTGTGCTACTCCAACAGAGATTTTCATTCTGATTTCCCAGCTAAGGACTTTAGCAAACTTGCCTGTTACGTTACATGAAAGCCATACTGCAGTTATCTTCTGGTCCATAAACTCGTAGATTAAAGCCAAGTGCTCATCTTCATCGCAATATCCAATGAGGCTCACCAAGTTTTTGTGACGGATTGTTAAAAGATCTTGAACCTGATTGGTCAATTAACCTATTAAATTAAAATCTTGGCTGTGTTCAAACGCAATTTATGCTTTCTGTCAAGCAAAAACTCAAAACTCACATTCTTGAAACATATAATATATTCTGTTGTATCCAAAGTTACCTCTGCTGTAAACTGTTTAATGTCATAGATGGATGCTCGGTTTACCATCTTTACTGCTACTTGTTGTTGGTCCTTCATAACTCCATGATAAACTACACCAAACCCTCCTTTGCCAAGAACTATACGGAAGTTGTTTGTAATTTTTGTAACCTGAGAATATGTGTACTGATTCTGTGCCAAGGACACACCACAAAGGAACTTATAAATAAGACGCCTCCGGCCTCTTGCTGCCATCATCATCATCGCCTGAAATGCAACTGGATTATCTCTTTGACAGAATCATCATGGCCAAAAAAAGCGTAAGAGTTTCTCCAAACTCAACTTCTAAACGCAAGTTGCTTAAAAATACAATAAATTTTATATTTCTTTTCCTCTGTAGACAAGTTGACTTACTCTTGTTGACATATAACAACTTATATTTATGCCAGTGAACATGTGAACGACGTTAGGTACAAATAAATTACTCAGGTTTTGTTTCAATCTTGGGACATAAGACTTTGACAAATCCAATAGTAAGAAGAACTTGGTGCACTGATACCGTAATTTGACATAATATTGAGCATCGCAGAATCATCTCCTCTCTTTGCAACCTAGCTAAACTGATCAAGTACACAATCAATTTTGAGAAGTTTTAAAGTGACTAACCATACATTAAACTGATGGTATCGTTTCAGCTTCAGCTATTAAAAACACAGATATGAGATAAAAGGCTGCAAACTTAGTTACCTGTCTAGCCCACTCTTCACGCCCAGTTCTCTTCAGATAGTTTTGGACAGCAACCTGCCTGTTGAAATCTGTTTTGCTTATACAAGGAACACAATGCCCAAGTTGTAAGAGGTGGATTGCATCCCCTCACAATGCCCATAAGACAGCATGCTCGGCCGATTAAACGAACAGCTCGATGGCTTAGGCGACGACTAACAGATAGGCTCGGCTCTAGACTTCCTTTAGCCGAGTAGAGCCGACTCCCCACTTTGACTACTAATGACCAAGGGGATGTCATTTAAAGTGCCCCATACTCCAGACCGTGTAAAGGCCCACTACGAGAGATCTTCTACTAAGCACCGTCCTAGGTCAAAGGAAAAGGGATCTGCTATAAAAGGGAGATGAGGCTCAACAAAAAGATCCGAAAATAGACTGATTAGGCAGCAACTTAAACTAGGGTTTTCTCTTGTCTCATTGTTGTTCTCTGATCAGTCCATACACTTCTGGTTGAGCACTGATATCACCCTTTTGTACTCTTTTTCGACTATAAATAAACTCTATTTTCATGTTTACTCATTTACACCTTCGTAATAACCCACCAACGAGTTTTGTCGATCATCTTACTCATTTATCACCAAACTCGGTTCAAACACAAGTGAACTGTCTTTTGGAGCGGAGAGCCCAACAATTCAAGAAACTCATCTGAAATATCTATGAATAATTGGGGTATTAATAAGTTTACACACAAAAATATGTAAAAATCTTTTATGCAGTCACAGTAGCATTGAAAGGTTTGTTTTCCTCCTTTTTTTACCAATTTCGCATTGACTAATTTTATCACAAACAACCTTTTCTTTCTGTTGGCTAACTTTAACATGGTTCACTTCACATTGGGACAGTCCCTACACGATTTTTGGTGAGCTCTTAATAACATAGACTGCAACATTACATCAGACTATCATAGTATTAAACCAATACAAGTATACAACAACAGTTTACCAAACATCGCAAAGCATTATCACCTATATTACATGTCAGTGATCAAGTCCGGATAAATCTAATTCGAATCAGATTCTCTTAAAGGGAAGTGATAAAGGTACATAGCACACGAGAGATGATCAAGAGTACCATGTTGAGATCTTTCTCTTGCGCTGGCGTGTAAGGGCAAGAGCCCAAAGTGTTTCTCAGTGTGAGTTGCTTATGTCATTGGCTACTGTTACCATCATTTGATCAGCCTCAAGATTTGCATCCTGTAAAGATAGATCCATATGTCTTATGACTTCTCCCCGATTCCACAGTGTCGACATCTTACACAGAACCATTCCAAGGGAAAAAAAGTCAGATATGTTGTCTTAATCAAATACAGTAAGCCTATGCCAAGAAACAAATAAAGACTTTTTTGTTACAAAAAAATTAAAAAAGTAAAGTCTTTTCTATTAAGACTGATCTAAAAACTGTATATTTTTATGTTTGTCTTGTCACCATGGGAACAAAGAAATAGAAGACAAAGACAACCAAGGAGTGATCACAACGGTCGATTATAGCTTAGACTCAGTCCCTTTTGGTTTGATGACCGAGATACTCTTAAAACTTCCTGCAAAATCCTTTCCTATCAGTGTCCATCTCTCGACCTTTATTCCTTTATAGAAATGATGCCTCTAACGGCTGCAGACGCGACAAGTGAACTGATAACCTGTTCTTATCGAAATTGTAACAACCCGATACCGGGTCCAAAATTTTTGGAAGACTAATGGGCCACTCTACGGCCCACTTGCCCATAAAACCAAGGGTTTTCTTGCATTCCCTATAAAAGGAGCTACCTCCTTCTTTTTCCGCATTCACGAAACGGGAAGCGAATCTCTGCAGAAAAATCCCGAGAGACACAAAAAACCCTAGCCGCCTTTCTTTTCATTTTCTTCTCTGTGCGCCTCTCCCCTTCTCTTCCCTCTCTTTCTCTCTGTGTGCCTCCTCTCTCTCCTTTCCGTGCAGCCGCGAGTGGCCGTGGTGGTGGTGGCACAGCCGTTTGGTGTTAACCGTTGCACGTGGTGGTGGTGGTGGCCGTGAGGTTGCAGATCTGAGTTTTGGAGAACCACAGATCCGGATCTCCAGATCCCGTTTTCCAGATCTAGATCTCAGATATATTGCTAAGGTGAGGTGATTCGAAACCCAAATCTGTTTCTCATAATCTCCATTCTGGGTGATGCGGGAATTAAGGTTTGGTTAGTCTTTGTTTGAAAGTTAAGTTGATAGATCATAATGGGAGTTAGGTTGATAGATGAATGGATCATAATGCATCAAAACCTTCACACTGTTTAAATGAGACTTAATGAACTGCCTTGTGTTGATGTGGATAATGATTGGTGATGAATGATTGTGTGAGTGATTTGTGTCCCATTTGATGATGATGAATGAAAGCTAGGTTGTTAGAAAGAAGTGAAAACTTAAGGTGATATATTTGTTAATTGGTAACAGTTGCTATGAATGATGAATGTGAAGTAATCTTCCAATAACTTCTAAGGTGAAAGATAGATGAATATGAATGAGATGTATTTTGGTTTTGGTGTATAAGAATATGAATTCTATGTGAATTGTGTGAAACACCGATAACGGGTGGCGTCTAGAGTCAAGTATGAGAATGAGGATATGAATGAGTTAAAGTGAATTGAGAATGAGTTTAAGTGATGAGAATGAGAATGATAACGAGTATGAGCATGATAATGAGTATGAGAATGAGAATGAGAAAGTGAATTAGAATGAGAATGTGGATGAGAATGTGGTCGTGTCAATGAACTTGTTTGAAGTCCTGTATGGACCACCGAGAACAGGTGGACGTCTAGAGTCTAGGATGTGGGTCCACGGGACAGTAGCCTAACACGAGGTACCCGTGGGCGAGATGTGTATGGCCGTGAAAGGACGGCGTCCGTAGAAGAGACCTCTGGGAGGGACCTGCGGGATAAGAAGTAGGCTCCTTAAGATCGAGTCAATATCGAGTCGTGGTATAATTATGACTATTAAGACCGGGGTGGCAGACAGTGCTGGGAGCCAACGAGCTGCAACTCGGATAGTCATCTAGGAAGCTGTAGGGGGGACGGTTTTCCCGAGAGAGGGCGCCCCTTCCAGGTTAGGCCGGAACGCGTAGTGACATCTGTAAACGGCCCTAGGTCCTTAAGTCTAGGTTGATTGGTGAGTCAAGTTTATATGTTGCTTGTGTGATTGAGTACAAGTGAAGCAATGGCTGAGTCCTTGCGGTGTATGAAACGTTAGGGTACTAGAATTCTATGTTTGAAACGTTGTTGTATGGCTTGTATGATGCATGATGATTGTAGTGGCTGGCCGGTCCTGTTTTCCGTATGAGGTAGTGTAGAGTATCATGCGGGCAGGCTGGGCTGGAGTCACTTCACTGAGTAACCCCAATTGCTCATCCCTCCATTTCTGTTTCCTATGCGCAGGACTGTAAGTAGAAGTATGTGGATACGGGTGGATCGGATTTCATTAAAAGCTGTGTCCGCCGACTCCTGAGACCAGTAAGGACACGTAGGGTTGTCTAATTGAGTAGACACGTGTCCGTAGCACCCGTTTGCTGAACCCCGGTCGGACGCCAGGGGAACGGGTTGTTATAGAAATGCTTCGTAAAACTGAAACTGTTGTAAGAATTCAGAAACTACAAGTTTCAATGCAGATTGGTTTGATTTTCCGTTTGGTATTTGGTAATAAGATTATGTTTCTGGCATCTTTTAGTTTGGGTGAATGTAACTTTGTGAAGAGAAGCATCACTAAGGGCAAGACTACCAAAGGTAGCTAAGGACAATGCAGCCATAAGCCCTTGCGGATGAGCTTTATCAGAGAATCATGTTTGCTTTCCGCCGGAAGTTGGAAATCCAGAGTTATTGGCATGTACGGGAGAGCCAATGCAGTGCAAATGAAATGGTAAGAGATCCCTTTGAGCTTCTTTTGTGAAGATACATTTTATAATTCTATCTTTTGTATGCTAGCAAGTAACAACTTACCTTGAGATTGATGAATTGACTTATAAAACTTCTAGGATTTAAGAGTAAAGCAACCAAACAAAGTTTTATGATTATCAAATTCTATACTTGACATTTAATTTTCCCTCTTTGCAGATTATAGTAGAATACGAGGCTTAAGTAAATAATCAAAACAAATATCTTATTTAAAAAAAAGTATTTTATAAAAATCATTTTTTAAACATAAGATAAAAAATATTTTTGTAATAAATAAAATATAGAACTTAAATTTTGTGAAAACAATAATTAACAAATAAGAGTTTATTGATATTTTTACATGATCTAATCCAATATATAAAGCTACAAAAACTAGAAAATATTTATAAGAATGAGAAACAGAAAATCCTTTTATTATATTCTTTTTGATATTTCATTAAAACCGACCAATGGAAATAAAAACGAAAAAGTATCGGCGACATTCTTTTCCTTTTTTGTGGTTACCAATCTATACTATTAAAAGTAAAGACATCTTTGAAAAATCGACTGATGGAAGTTGTGTGCACCCTCATTAATGGTATTTTGGTAATTTATTTTCGGCCTTACATCTATATATATATATATATATATATATATATCAATTTGTTACAAATCATATCACATATTGCATATACCCAAATTATTCTCTCTCTTTACATTAATTACTCTAACCATTAATTATTCTCTATTTTCCCATTAATTATTCTCTCTCTTCTCATTAATTACTCTAACCATATTTCATACTATATTTCATACATTTATTGATTTCCAACATTATATTACATGACTAGGTGTTGACCCGCGCCCTGCGCGGAGTGAGATAATTTTGACTTTGATCGAACAATAATTTGGTATATTATTTTTGTTTAACTAAAAATAGGTAGTAGATGTGAATCAGTAAAAAAAATCATATAGTCATATAATGAGATATTGGTATAGCTGCGAAATGAAGCAATGATTCATAGAAATTTGTTTTCACTGTTTGTCTTATATATCTGTTTGTCTTATAGATATATGATGATACAAAAAAATTAAGAAATCGTCTACTAAAAAATAGTAGAAAATAAATAAAAATAATTAATAGGATAAGAAAACATAGAAAAATAAAACATGATATAATGAGAAAATATATTAAAATAAAATAATAAATAGAAAATTTTAACATGATATAATAATTGAAATTGTCTTCAAAACTCTTGGTTTGCAATTCTACAAACAAAAATAACAATTGGTTAGTTTACCAAACAACACACACTCTTTTAATATTTTAAACTCATCGAAATGATCTACTTCTTTCTGAATGCATGGAGTTCTGGAACATCATCAGGTTCAAAAATGATTTTTGAAAAGCCATCGATGTTTGAGATATTCTTCAATTTTCCTTATCATTAGTAAAAAAAAAATTTATTAGCTATTTTCTAATGTGATATAAAATTAAATAGACTATTTATTTAAATTATAAAAATATATTACCAGCTCCCCAATTAATTTGCCAGAGCAGACAATCGAATTGCCCCACCAGTTCTCTTTTCACGGTGAAGTTTATGAGAACTTTGGTCTCACCCTCTTGTAGCAGACAATCGAATTTCCCCACCAGTTCTCTTTTCACGGTTCCAGCTATCTTGTCTCCTTGGTAGCAAGAATATTAAATTAAATAAGTAAATTTGAGACGTCAAAAAGAGAAACAAGCATAAAACTCGATCACTTCAAATTTAACTTACTCTAGCATCGAGGAAGACCATTTCGATAGTCTCCCCAGCAGCTGCAGAATACTGTTTCCAAAGTCGAACAATTTTCACTTGCACCTTCCATTGGTTCTTGAAAGGATTCAACTGAGATATAAGGTTCATGGCAGCCATAGAAGATGATTCGGAAATTTTTTCTTGTGTGAATATTGAATGGACCTATAGAATACGAGATAATATATATGTTTAAGTAGCATTTAAATTTGCGATTTGCGCTTGTCTATCAAGCAAATTCAAATTTATGGGTATCTCATTTAATTCAGAATATTATATTCTGAGATTTACTTGCTAAAAATACGTGATTTATGAAATATATGCATTCAATATTCAAATACAATAACAACAAATGGTTTGTGCATATAAGGGAAACGGAGATACGCATGCAGATTTGGCCATTAATTTTGATTGAAGATAATTGTATTTTGTACTAATACTACAAATGCATATAAAGGAAACAAAGAATATAAAATTTGATTATAAGATCAAAAACATAATGTCGAAATATAAAATATAAAATTCGATTTTATAAAATATAAAATTTAAATATATGCCAAGTAGAGA